ATAATGTTCTACCATCTATTTTTGGTGAGTAGTGACTAGGGTCTTAAAATCTTGAGAGTGGCCATCTAAGATGCAACAATTGGCCTCTTCCCATCTAGTTGTTTGTTGTTGTTATGTGCCGTCAAGTCGACCCAACTCACAGCAACCACTTCTTGGGTTTCCAAGGCAGTAATCACTATGAAAGTAGATTGCCCAACCTTCCTTCTGAGAATTGGCTGGTGGGTTTGAACTGCCAGCCTTCTGGTTAGCAGTCAAGTGCCTTAGGCACTACGCTACCAGAGCTGCCTCCCATCTAGAGTGAAGAAAATCAAAGACTCAAGGAAACAATTAGGTCAGAGGACAAATGGATCACGTGAACCCCAGGCTCCATGATCCTGAGACTAGAAGAACTAGATGGTGCCTGGCTACCACTACCGACTGCTCTGATTGTGATCACAGTAAAAAGTCCTGGACAGAGTGGGAGAAAAAATACAACTGTAGAACAAAATTCAAAGTCATAAAAAAGACCAGACTAACTGGTCTGATAGAGACTGGTGGAGCCCCCAAGACTGTGGTGCTTAGACACCCTTCAAGTCTGGAACTAAACCTACCCCCCGGGGATTAACTTTCAGCTAAACAACAGACAGGGCTATAAAGTAAACAATAACACCAGGGAGGAATGTACTTCTCAGAACAGCCAACCATATGAGACCAAAAGGGCAGCATCTGCCCAAAAACAAAGTTCAGAAGGCAGAAAGGGACAGGAAAGAAGGATAAATGAAAAGGTGAGCACAGGAAGGAAGTGGGAAGAGTGCTATTACATTGTAGGAATTGCAACCAATGTCCCAGAACAAAATATGTATAAATTGTTGAATGGAAAACTAACTTGCTCTGTAAACTTTCACCCAAATCACAATAAAAAGTAAAAAAAAAAAAAAAATTCTTGTGTGTGGAACCAGTTACAAATGAAATGAAGGAAAGTTATACATCAGATTTCTATTAGGAGGGAAATAAAGGGCTCGCTCCCTCCCCCACACCCTCATCACTGCACATCCCAGATTTCACAGAGAAGCGGGGTAAACTTGTGGTCGTTCACTCTCCATGACATCAGCATTTCTGCATGGTGATGGTTGAACGTCCTCAGTTCAGTCAGACGACCCAGGAGACAGGCAAAGTGTTGAGGATTTTCAGGCTGATGGATCTTACACAGCTTCTGTAGCACATCGAGCAGTGGTTCCTGCAGCTTCTCTACTGCTTCTCTGTCCTTTATGTACTGTCTGTCTGTTTTGAAGTTTAGAATAAAAGGAGAAAATTAAAAAGGGGAAAAGAATTCATTTGGTCTTATTAAACGATGTTAACTTTTTGAAATGTAACTTATAAATGTTGTACATATAAAATATACAAATTATAAGTGTTCAACTTGATGAATTTTTCTGTATAGCCCTACCCCTGTGGAGTCCCTGAGTAGGACAAATGGCTAAGTGTTCAAATACTAACCAAAGGCTGACCGTTGGAACC